TTAAAAGATGGGAAAATGAGCTGAACAAAAATCTCTCTAAGGAAGACATACGAACAGCCAAAAAGCATATGAGGAAATGCTCGACATCCCTCATCATAAGGGAAATGCAGATAAAAACCACAACTATTCTCATTAAGTACCTTCACTGAATGGCAAAGATTAAGAATATAAAAAGTGATAAGTGTTGGCAGGGATGTGGTGAAAAGGGAACCCTCCTTCACTGTTGGTGGGAATGTAAACTAGTTCAACCACTGTGGAGAACAATATGGAGGTTCCTCAAAGATCTACAAATAGAACTACCACTTGATCCAGCAATCCCACTTCTGGGTATTTACCCAAAAGACAGGAGAACGCTCAGTCAGAAAAGTGCTTGCACATCAATGTTTATTGCTGCATTATCCACAATTGCCAAGACATGGAACCAACTTAAATGTCCACAAACTGATGAATGGATTGGAAAAGTGTGGTATATATACTCTATGGAATACTACTCAGCCATAAAAACAACAAGACCCTGGAAATCAATATATTTCTTAATATATTTCTAAAACCATGGAAAGCTCCAAAAGGTGCAAGATAAAAAAATTAAAATGGACTCAAATTTCACCATCAAAATATGACCAGATGGCCTTTTCAGTCTATTCTATGTCTTTCTTTTTTACATAGCACATAATGTAAGAAAAGTTATAATGTTTAGAGTAATCATATTGATTTTAAATCTAGCTAACATACTATTTATAGCTTCCATATTGAGAAAATAAAAAAGTATCTGATATCAGATAAGAATTTCTCTGGGTGGTTTATTAGTATTCCAATTGTAGAAACCCAATGGCCAAAATAATTCAATTTTAGTAATTTTAGTTTTAAAGGTACACCTAACCTTTTTTGCTTTACTTAAATTTCAACACTAAAACGTAAGGCAATTAGAATCCTTTTTTAAAATCTGCTTTTGCAGATAAAAATATTCTTACTGCAATTTTCCTAGATCCCTTTTTGATTTGTTAAACAGTATAATAAAGGTTTAGCCATTATTATAAAAACTAGACTAGAATAGCAAAATTTTTTTGTTTGAATTGTTTATCAGATAAAAGAAAATATTCTAAATGAAATACATATTAACAATTATATCATGAGGAATATATTTTTAGATCTGGGAAAAATAGAATAAGAAGAGAATTAATAATTGCAAAAAAAAAAAAAAATTCTGCCATGAAGAATTCACTTGGCAAGTCATGATTTACGGGAGTCCTCCATTTCATATTGAAACCATCTGGAAGAGAATTTGTTAGACTTTGTACACTACAGTAGTCTCTTTATTTAAATATTTGGCTTATTTCTCAACTGAAGTAATATCATAAATAATTGTTTACTGAACAAATTGATCATTTTTGAACCCATATCTGATATAGAATGTCTTTCTTTTACTTTGTACATTAAAAACAATTTGCCCAGGTAAAAATTCTTCAGTCATAACATTTTTCCTCAGAATACTGTGATTTTGGTTCCATTGCCTTTTAGCATTTGTATCATGTACATGAAATGCACTAATTTTTATTCCTTTATAAATATGTCATTTCTGTTTCTTTCAGTGATTCTTCAACATATTTGGATACTTTGCAAGGATAGAGAACCACCTTTTCATTGATTTTACCTATAGTGTAATGAGCTCTAATTATATTGGGTTGTTGGGAAAGTCATATTTTTCTGTTTTTTTTTTCTCTATGCAAAAATGCATCATGACATTCCCAACAGCCCAATATTTTACATTTATGTTTCTGTTTTAGATTCCACTTTTAAAAATACATTGTCACAGGTGTGTGTGTGCTTGTGTGTGCATGCACGTGAAAGAGAGAGAAAGTGAAAAAATATTCCCATCTCCACATGGCAAAGGATCATACTGTTTCCCTTACTCTCCACTTTTCCCACCTTTTAGGATTTGGGGCATGTGCACACCTGCACCAGAGAGTGTTTCTCAACCTGGCTGGTCTGGGAACAAAAGGACAAAGGTGTTCATGTGGGATCCAGTCACCTAACCACTAGACTACAGGCTAGCCCAGAGATATTACATCTTTTAGCTTCAGAAATTCAGAAATATCTCAAACTATTGGGCAGTATTTTAATTATCCTAGAAATATATGTTTATGATTTCTTCTGTGATTTTTATCATTTTTGTACTTTTCAAAATATTATATATATATATATATATATATATATATATATAGAGAGAGAGAGAGAGAGAGAGAGATACACAAGTATATACATATACTTCATATTGACAATTTCTTTTTCTTTTTTGGAGAGGTTTTTGCTATAGGACGTGTGAGTTCGCCAGAGAGAGAGAAAGAGACAGACAGAAAGCAAGAAATCACCCCCTGGGGGGATGGCCTTCTCCTCCATTCCCCTCTTGGGATCTTGGGTACACATGTGCATGCGCCTGGCATGAGTTTAAGCCACTGGGTCCAAGAATCGAACTGTGGTCAACTACATGGGAGTTCAGGAGTACATAGTCATTACACTAACGGCTGGTCCTGACTATTTTTCTTGTCTTCTCATTTCTAGCAAGGTTGAATCCAGGAACTCAAGTAATTACATAATATTTTTTAATGAGGAAAATAATGGCTTAGAGAGCCTTCGAGATTTTGTTCTATATATATATAAATTTCAAGAGTAAGAATTTGAATATCTTTGAACATTCATGTCAGTCTTTGAAATGGAATCTGATTACCCTCCCTATAATGCATGCTAATCTGGTCAGTGTGGGCAGAGGAAAGCACCAATTGGCCAGAGAAGAAGGAACTTGATGAAAGACCACCACCAAGTTGGAGAGTATCAATTCTCAAAGAGAGACTGGAATTCTTTCACCAGAAACAAGGGAAAGATTCCATTGGTATGAAACATATCATTTCACCAACTCATGCCATTACTCCTTTTACTGAAAATGCTAACTTGTTCATTAATGGTTTCTGTCAGAAAATATTACCAGAGTTACACATCCTGCCTTTGAGTCATCAGGACGCTATTTTCTTTATTTTGATTTTCAGTATTAATAACTGATCCCATTTTCCCCTGCTTACTTATTCTAGAGGAGATAGAAGAGATATCCAGATTCAACATCAATGAAGAAATGCAGTAGTTTCTCTATTCCCAGTACAGTCTACTTAGTTGCTGCCTGAAGACCTTTTGGAAGTCTAAAGGTGAGTTGCACAGGTCTTCTCTCCAATATAGCCTACATACATTGTTTACTTCTCTCTATTCTGTCATGAGATCAGTTCCTAAACCGATGTCATGTCTTTCAATTCTCTCCAGGGTAGCTGCCTATGTTCTTCATAGATGCGGGAACCAGCAGTTAGCATAATGGCTATGTTGCTGGACTCCCACGTAGTTGACCGCAGTTCACGTCCCGGACCCGGTGACTTAAAACTCAGGCCGGGTGCATGTGTGTGGGTGCCCAAGATCCCGAGAGGAGAATGGAGGAGAAGGGATTGCAGCATGACCATCCCCCCTGGCGGGTGATTTCTCGCTTTCTGTCTCTATGTCTCTCTCTCTGTCTGTCTGGCGAGCGCATGCGCCCTATAGCGAAAATCTCTCCCCCCAAAAAAGAAAAAAATAAAACTCATAGATGCACAGTCTCTGTCCCTGAAACAGGGTTTACAGAGTGAGCAATGTTTAACACCTCTGCTCATCTTCAGTCCACTGGGTGGGCTGTTCTACTTAGTGAAGTGAATCATGGGTAGCTCACCAGTGTTTATTTTAACTAGATTCTAATAACTACTTTTCTGTTGATTTGAATATTTTAGTATTCTGAATTTTTATTGTTTTCCCTGGTCTTAGGAAATTGAAAGATGCTTTATCTGAGCTTGGAAGTCAAATGTCATTTTAAAGTATATGCTTTTAAACACAATGTTTTGAAAAGCAATTTGTAGAACACATGGTTCTTTTTCTTCATTTCTCATTTACCATTTGAACATACTATTGTTAAGCAGCCTGGCCATATTAAAGGTGAAAAGTCAAAATTTTTCTTGCTTTTGTAAAAAAAATGTAATTAAGCTTCATTTTAAACATGTCTATTTCTGCTTAGGATACAGATAACCACAAGAGAAGGTAGCTAATGAAAAAACATAACAAGCTAGGTTACATTAAAATCGTAAATGTTCTTAAGCTGCAGTTGCAATGCAAATTAAAAAAAAAAAAGAATTCTAGAATGACAGTTACCTCCAAGGTGATATGAGACCGTGGTGAAACATCATAAAGGTGGCTGCCATAAAGCCATAGAAGAGGAAATCAGCTAAAGTTTTAACAAATGTTTAGAAACTAGGTGTGTACTAGCACTGTCATGAGATCAGTTCCTAAACCGATGTCATGTCTTTCAATTCTCTCCAGGGTAGCTGCCTATGTTCTTCATAGATGCGGGAACCAGCAGTTAGCATAATGGCTATGTTGCTGGACTCCCACGTAGTTGACCGCAGTTCACGTCCCGGACCCGGTGACTTAAAACTCAGGCCGGGTGCATGTGTGTGGGTGCCCAAGATCCCGAGAGGAGAATGGAGGAGAAGGGATTGCAGCATGACCATCCCCCCTGGCGGGTGATTTCTCGCTTTCTGTCTCTATGTCTCTCTCTCTGTCTGTCTGGCGAGCGCATGCGCCCTATAGCGAAAATCTCTCCCCCCAAAAAAGAAAAAAATAAAACTCATAGATGCACAGTCTCTGTCCCTGAAACAGGGTTTACAGAGTGAGCAATGTTTAACACCTCTGCTCATCTTCAGTCCACTGGGTGGGCTGTTCTACTTAGTGAAGTGAATCATGGGTAGCTCACCAGTGTTTATTTTAACTAGATTCTAATAACTACTTTTCTGTTGATTTGAATATTTTAGTATTCTGAATTTTTATTGTTTTCCCTGGTCTTAGGAAATTGAAAGATGCTTTATCTGAGCTTGGAAGTCAAATGTCATTTTAAAGTATATGCTTTTAAACACAATGTTTTGAAAAGCAATTTGTAGAACACATGGTTCTTTTTCTTCATTTCTCATTTACCATTTGAACATACTATTGTTAAGCAGCCTGGCCATATTAAAGGTGAAAAGTCAAAATTTTTCTTGCTTTTGTAAAAAAAATGTAATTAAGCTTCATTTTAAACATGTCTATTTCTGCTTAGGATACAGATAACCACAAGAGAAGGTAGCTAATGAAAAAACATAACAAGCTAGGTTACATTAAAATCGTAAATGTTCTTAAGCTGCAGTTGCAATGCAAATTAAAAAAAAAAAAGAATTCTAGAATGACAGTTACCTCCAAGGTGATATGAGACCGTGGTGAAACATCATAAAGGTGGCTGCCATAAAGCCATAGAAGAGGAAATCAGCTACAGTTTTAACAAATGTTTAGAAACTACGTGTGTACTAGCATGTTGGTGTAGGACAACAGAGACCCACAAATACAGGGGAAGCTTGCGCTCACTTGCAAACCCTTTTTCATGGACAACCATAAAAGAGATTGGGGACAAGGCACACATCAAGAGAAAAATCCCCTTTCACAGTGTGGGAGTAGGAAATAACCAAGACTGGGGCACAGGTGCAAACCACTGTATATTTCCCAGCTTTAATCTCATGGACAGCAAGAGCCTTAAGCAGTAGAAACGGGGACGGGGGGTGGGGGGGGGGAGATAAAGTCATTCTCCCCTCAGATTTCTGGCAAAGGCCCACTGTTTCTGGAGAAGAAACTTAAGGGAAAACTCACTACCCCTGAAGGAAGAGCTGAAGTCCTCTCGGACTAAGAGCCTGCACCAGCGCAAAGTGGAGGTCTACTACTGATTGGGAAGGGAAGGAAGCTCTGTTGCATCCAAGACCCAACAAATATACTGTGGCTGCCATGAAGAGAAGGAAAAGCTGAGGAATTTCCACTACAAGGTCTACACGTACAAGCTAGATAAGACAAGAGAGGAGCACCCCCGCCCCCCGCCACTCTCCAACCTTACCATAAGACTAGAACGGAGGAACCAGTGGAGGTAGGTTTCCACTGTGGGAGAAGGAGAGTGTGGGGAGAAACCCTTTCTGTGGCATGGGCATGCAGGGAACACTGAGAGCCGAGGGCTGATCAAAAAAACAGAGAAAACCCTGAAATATCCAAGAATATATATTTATTGCAGACAAATCATTATCATTTTACATGTTAAAGCCAGGCAAAGATCTTAAATAAAAGAGATGCTTTTTAAAAATACCCTCAACTCAATCTATCATCAAATTTTAAAATAAAATCAATGTTTGAAGAAAACACAGAATAGAGGTGGATTAAAGAAAGAGAGAGAGGTATTAATACTGGCAGCAGGAAGAATGCATGAGTTGTTTTGAAAGTCTACTTTTTGATAAAATGTTTTAGGTCAATGAAACGAAAATTACCATTGTAGAGCTAAATATTATTTCATTTGGATGGTCGCTATAAAGCTGAGAAGGAGTTATTACTTCAGTCATCCATATTAACCCACGGTGACTAGTAGACTGTCTTACATATGGCCCACTTTGTGTATTAAAAATAAAATGGGGACCAATAGGTGGTGTTATGGTTAAGGTGTTAAACATGGCTGACTGCAGTTTGAGTCCTGGACCTGGTGGCTTGAAAATCATGCTGGGTGCGTGTGCATACTTCATGCCCCAAATCCCAGGAGGAGAATGGAGAAGAAAGGATTATAGCTGGCCATACCCCCTGGGGTGATTTTCACTTTCCCTTGCACTGAATCCCTCTCTCTGTCTTCCTATGCAAAGGAAGCACATGTGCCCTATGTCAAAAACAGTAAAACAAATAAATAAATGAATAAATTGATAAGTAACATACTTAATAACAATGGCTTTTAAAACATTAGGTATGTAGTAAAACCAACCATTTCATTGTTACTAAAATAGAATAGTGAAGTCTTTTGATAACAAATTTACAATAAAACTGAATTTATAACTTATGAATTTTAATTTTAAAATGAATAAGTATATTTATTAAATAAACATATACCCTGGATGTATATATAAATTTGTATATGGATATCTTTATATGCTATTTAGTATATACAAAGAGAAAGTAAATTCTGAAATTGTAGATCTAGTATATGTGTGTATGTATGCAGACACATATTAGAATATACACAAGATTACATGTCAATAGTTTTTAAATTAAAAATGTGTTTTCAGTAGAATTTCATTCCAAGAACCTGTTGTACACTAGGTGTCGCTAGCATAAAGCAAAAACTGTCAACAGATTTTTAAAAAGAAGTATTAAACTGTGTTAGAATAACATTCAAGGGAAAGTATGTAGTAACATTTTGTTAAGATTCTGAATTTTCTTCTTAGGAATTATGAAATCAAGTTCACACTGGTGAAAACTATCACACAGGGTATGGACTTAGAAAGAATTAGCCCCTCTGTTCTCCACCTGCAAGTCAAGGGAAAAGTCAAACACAAATTTTTGCTGATTCAATAGACCTGTAAGAAACTGAATTTCTTCTTAAATTTCAAGCCAACTGAAACTGTTGCAGGTAAACTGCTACTTTAAGAATCTGTGCTTTCCTCTTAACTGGCTAGGAGCAAGAGTGGGAGAGGAAGTAAAAAGATTCTCAAGGAGCTCTTCCTTCCTAAATGTAATAGAACTTCTGATTATAAAGCAAACAAATCCTCTGAATTTACCTAGCTGAGGCTTGGACTAGCGTAAAACTTGCAGACATAAGGACTCTAAGATAGTTTCAGGTTCTTTGCTTGGAATTTGCTTTCAACAGTTTGGTGGGGTTTCAAATTTAAGTACTTATACACATAGCCTTTACTATGAGAACTATCTATATGGGCACCCAGAGAGCCGTTACAGGCAGTAAAACATACTTACTTGAAAAGTTCATTTCTATCAATGGCTCTGTTGGTTTGGGGGTCGATTGCATAGACGGTCAAGTCACATTTGGTGTAATCTTCCAGAGAAAAGGCATCTCCGTGCCGACGAGCACCAATGGACTCCACTACAACCTTGGCACCAGGAATTTGGTCCTGAACATAGCGATCCAAAATCCTATAAATCAAAGTACAAACATGACATTCTGACGGGCTTTCTGGGAATAAAAAAAAAAAAAAAATCACCCTCAACTTGAAATGACATTTAGTAAATGAAAAATGATGACAGGCTGGTTTTTGCTAATGTTTACTGAATACAAACCTTTGGGGAAAATGTTCTCTATATTTTTATAGCATTTAACTCACAATGATGTTAGAAGTGGAATAAGGTTGAAAAAGGTCATCAACCATGTCCTAGTTAAGTCTAGACTTTTTTGAATTTACAATGCCATTTGAGCTTTCACATGGCTCATGGGAGATGCCAAATATGTTGTACAAATAAAGCTGTCAATGCTTTATAGGAGTCACGGGGTCTTAAAGTCTTGACTACATGGGGTAATGTCATAAATTACACCCCCAGCTGGAATCTGTGATATATGGCACATAGTTGAATGCTCAGGATACCTATTTTCTTAAGGGTATAAAGATCCTTAGAACATTATAGCAACAGGAGGTGGTAGAGATATCTTACAAGGCAAGTTTATCAGATTAAGATAAAAATATTGCATGCAAGACCAGTCTCATAGCACCATGGAGGTGCTATGCAGAAGAAGCTGGATACCAAATGGCTGACGAGGGTTTGAGAATTGGCCTAGGGGGCTTGAAAAACATGCTGAGTGTGTATGTGCAAAAGACTCTGATAGAATGGTGAATTGGAAGAAAAGAATCACCATGTGACCAGGCCCTGTAGGAGAGTGCTCCCTGCCCCTCCTCTTTCTCGTGCCCATTTAGCCTCAGATTAAAACATATGTTGCATGCAAATCTCAGACTATGAGTGAATACAAATGACTGAAAGATATACCATCTCCCATAGTATGAGCAATATTTAATTGAAAAGACAAAAATAACGTTAATGAATATGCAATTTCTTTGGAAGATATGATTTTTTTGGAATTCTTTTTCTGGATATTAATCGAAAATACAAATTATTATCATATGAGTGTTTGTTTTCTGTGTTTCTGCAAATGTCAATTTCCTTAATGTCCTTTTTCTTATCAAAAACTTTATATCATTAATTGTATTAGAATGCAAATTATTCAATATTTGTAGACATTAAAATGTAAATAAATCTTTGTAACCATACATGCCGACTATTTTAACATTAATCTGTAGAGTCAACAATACTTTTGGAGTCTGTGCTGTGAGGTATTTGGGGAGGATGGGGGTAACATAGTCTAAAGTTCTTTGATACATCAGAAAATAAATTTTACTTCAGATGCCAAAATCAGCCTGCTTTCTACTCTATTAAAAATATGTTGCCTTAAAGTATGTGCTGGGTTTGTTTTTATTACAAGAACCACCAGGATACTGAATTTTGGAGAAAATGGCTATACTAGTGAGCACCAATGGCAGTGTAGTATTATTCATTCCTTTCCTTACTCTCCCTGCCCCACAGCCTTACAGCATGAGATCCTTGCCAAAGAACAAAGAGAAGACTTTGTGGAAAAAAAAGGAGTAAATCTATGCAGCCAATACCAGTTAATAGTCGGATAAAGCCTCTCTGGGAACCTGAAAACAATGGATGTCCTTGGAAACACAGGCTAGTCTAAGATGGTTCAGCTTGTGTTTTAGGTTTTTTTCCTGAGAGACTTATGCTCACTTAGCAAAAAATAAGAAAGGTCTCAGCACCTAACCACATTATACTCTTGGCATTTTGTAGGAATCGCAAACAGTAATAACAGAGCGCTGATGATCATGGAGGTTTGGCTTTAGTTTTGTATCCCTTTACTTATCAATTGCATAACCTTTGACAAGCAATTTTAAGCTCCCTAGGATTTAGTTTTCTTAAATACAAAATGAGGAATTCATCTACCAATGATTTATAAATGAACAAAAGGTTTTTCACAATTTTTTGCATACTTTTAGCACATACTAACAACTTCCATAAAATATGATTATTATTAATAATTAGGCTTAAATATTTGGATTAATAAATTTCTTCCCTGCCTCTTATTCATTCAAGTCAATTTATTTGTGAAATTATTCAAAAATCATATTTCTACTAGTCTTATTAGTTCACAAGGTAAAATGCAAACAAACATTAATACATGGTTAAAGTACTGGAAAAGGTGGCTATCTGTCCCACATATTCTTTAGTGTAACAACGTTTAACTGCTCCAGTGCGTTTAGGAATTAATTTGATATATTCCAGGGAAATCCTTCATATATACACATATGGTATCCAACAAAGAAGAAACTTGTCTATCGAGCCTGTGTCTTTTCCTATATTTCAGTGCTATATGATAGAAATATGTGACTAAAAAATGAGATGTGGAATAAAATATAACTGTACTAATTCTATGATAGCAGAAAATCATAAAGCAATGAAGTTTATAAATGAATTGTCATTTAAAACATGCAATAATGTCTTCTCCCTGAATATTTTTTAAAGAATCATTAACTTTTAATTCATTTATTTAAATTTTAATTTGACTAGAGAGAAAGAGAAAGTGAGAAAGCAAGCTGTCAGATCTAGGATTTGAACCATGGTCAGCCATGTGGGAGTCCAGCACCCTTAACCACTTGTGTGTCCCATTTTTTTTCTTGAGCTTTTAGAAATCCCAACTAGAATTAAAGGTATTTTATGATAATGGGAATTGTGTTCTATTTTAATTGTTTCATATTTCATTCTAATACATAAATGTAAAACCTTATTTAATACTTTAAAAAAATGAAAACATATTTTATAAAAATCTATCTTCCCACCTATTATCTATGTCTATATAACATTTTCTACAGTGATCATTATGACATATATGTTGATTTCACTAAAAAAATAGACGTAAGGAAAAGATTTTCAAAATAGAGTTTCAAAAACAATCTTCATATAAACCTTTATTTTCAGAATTTAAAAAATGTAGAAAATTAAACTGGTATCAGAGATATCTAATAAAATCATGGCAGAACTTACATAACTGTTAAATGGCAAATGTTTAATCCATTCATTCATTCAGTGACTATTTACTGAATGTCTAACATGGGCCAGAAACTGTTCTAGACACATGAATATATGAGCAAACAAAACAAAATTCCTGACTTCAGAGCATTTACATTCTATAGGGCAAGATCTTGATAATGAAATAAAATTGGTAAGTGTGTTTAGAAAATTTATTATTGAGAAACTGATAGTTAAGCAGTTTAGGTGATAATAAATAGAAATGTAGAAAGAAAAGGAAAGAATGTTCTAGAAAAAGAAATTGCCAACTGCTTGTGCAACTGTCTTGATGTAGTAGTGTGTCAACAGAGCAGTAAAAGTTAGGAGAGCACATGGGTGCTTTTAGAATTGTAAAGTCATTACCGTATGCTCTGAGTGAAATAAAAATCCATCCCTGGATTTTAAATATTGAAGTAATATGATCTAACTTATCTTTAAAAGTAGCACAGTTGCCAGTATGTTTTAACAGTCCGATGTTGGAACTGAGAGTAGGATCAGGAAAACTCATTAGTAAAGAATTTAAGTAGACGAAGGATTTATTAAATGTTCAGCCTATTCAATAATTTGGAGGAAAAGATTCAACCTAATCTGTGACTATTAGCCATAGATGAACCATAAAATTGAGTTTTATTATATGCATTACTATTATGCCTGCTTAAATAAGTATCCATTTGCAAATAGTATATATCTTATGAAAATAAATCAAGAAATGCAAGACTTAACAAATAGTTGTATTCATTATAGGGTGACCTAGATAAATCCTGGGTTTTGTGGTTCTTCATTTTAAAATAGGTCAATTTTTATAGATCATTCTTTGTTTAAGAAAACATAAAGGAGAGACCCAAGCTTATAGGTCCACTTAGGATTCTTTATTATCTTCCTTGAAGTGTGTTTCTAGACATAGTTGGCTTTTAAGAGACGGCCAATCTTTTCAGAGTTCATGATACTTCCTTCTATTGCCTTTTGTATTAAATACAGAACACAGTTCTTTTTCTACTTCATCTCAGAGATCTTGAACTTTCTGAATTATTTTTTTGTCAAGTCCAGTGTTTTGTATTTGATGAAAGTTTTCATGGTGTCAGTGCTCTAATAACAGTATTACAACATGATTTTAAAGCTAGCTAACATCTCTTGGAGAACAGACAGTGGTGTAACAGGTAGAAGTGAGCGGGCAACTCAGAGGTAAATATTCCTCTATTAAATATTAATTGAGCACAAGCATAGATAAAAACCTGTGAAATCCAAACAAAAGAAGTGGCTATTATTATAGACCTCCCTTACTAAATATTTGTTACCAAAATTTACAATAAAAATGGCAACCAGTCCATTTCAAAGGGCAGCAGAAAGACATCTGTCGCATCAATCACAGCTTTTCAGGAGTTTCAGCTAGACCCTCTGTGAGAACTCCTTCCCACCTGGCTCCTGGTGCCAAGAGAGGAAGTTCTCTCAGCAGTATGCTAGGTCAGCATTCTATTTCCAACTGGGCAATACACTAAAAAGGCAGGTCTTCCAAATACAGGAACTCATACCTTCAAAGTCCACACTGGACATGCGTGATGGAGGCAACGAGCACAGAGGAAAACCCAAATTCGAACAAAAGCAGCAGCTACTATTACAAACCTTCTGTACCAAATATTCACTGAGCACAAGCACAGGTGAAAACCTGCATAATTTGAACAAAAGAAGTGGCTACTATTATAGACCTGCCCTACTAAATATTCATTACCAAAATTCACAATGAAAGTGACAACCAGTCCATTCCAAAGGGCAGCAGTTATTTCTTTAACAACCTGCCCACCAAAAATGTCTCTGGGTGTCCTTCCCTTTAACCCATGGCCAGCCTGGTTGCTCAGGAACTCTCTTCTTTTTTTTCAATAAATTGAGCTTTGCTACTTCCTATACTTGTCCAAGTTCGAATTCTTTGTGAGTGTAAGACAAAGAACTGATTCACTCCTGTTTCTTCAATCCCTATTGGGCCCACACACCCCAAATCTGCATCATATTTGGTATTTACACTTGGTTAA